AACAAATGTCTACCATGAGCGTAGGCTGTACGCAACTCCATGGCGGGAAATAGTTTCATTAAGTGAGTTATAATAATAACTACTGCTGTTAAGTTTTCATTGCAATACGAATTAACTTTCTCATTTTTTCGCATTGTTACCTGGCCGAAAGAAGTCTTTTCTCCTGGTTACAGTATAATGTAAGGGTTGCAATAAAGGTTTGGTAAGCAAATTTGCAACTTCGTTAGTTTGTGTATAACAAGTCCACTGGATATTGTTGCGTTCGTATTCGTGAAAAACGGTTTTTTTTTTAATACAATGTGGCTACGAACAACAGTCATTATTATTGTACATTACGAATTACCTTGAAGTAAAGGAATTTCTTCAAGAAAACTCTTTCTTCCATTCTTTATACCTTTGCTATTTCATGTTTTACAATTCATGTTTCTGTTCATTATCAGCATCAGATATTCTGGTCGAAAAATTGATAAGTGCATTTTTTTTTTATTGCGAGGACTTAACATCTCCGCAGCCTAAACATAAATTGGAGAAGATATACACATGAGTGTTGGATGATTTTATGTTTTGTTTCAAACCAGAATAATTTTGTTTACTTTTTTTTTTTATTGATTTCCTCTTGATATTTTACCAGAAAGAATATTGAAACCGTGGAAGTGTATTTTTTTTTTTAATTTTGTTTTGTTGATGGTTACAAGAAGGCCCTACTGTATAGTTTACTTAACTTAAAGATTTTTCAGTGTCATTTTGGTCAGGTTATCAACAAGGTGGACACTTCATCGCTTGTATAAGGTGATCACCAATTGTTCAGAAAGTTTCTATAGGCTTAAGTGTAATTCTATATTATTTTTGTTTTCTTGAAATTCCAAATGATTTAATTTTATACTTTCCGTTATGTTTGGCGATACATTGTTCAACACCTGACCGTGGTTTTCAGACTTTATAAGTTGCTGTCGTCTAGCTTGTTGGTAACTTAGGATATGTAACTTTTTACTTGTTGAAATCTTGTTGTATGCCAGTTTGTTTCTCCTTATATGAACCAATTTCGACAATATATCCTATACCTATAGGCATATAGGCTAAAAGTACCGCGTTGCAAGCAACACCACGCTTAATATTAAGTCATTAAAGATATGTTCAGACACAGGTCGTAACTTTATTTGGAAAACGTTTAACAAAAAAACTTGATATAGAAAATCGTGCTGCTGTTGGCGGTGGTATGTGTTTGTTGCTTTTGTCAGTTCACTATTGGAAGAGGAGCAAAATTGTATGAAAATAGAAATAACTAAGCTAATATAAGTTTCTAGAGTCTAAGAAGTATTTTGTATAATCCATAAGAATGAAAAAAAAAAACACACAGTCAATTTAGGACGATGCGTCAACGTAAACTCGCTAAAATCTCTATGGGTCTGAAGTTGTCTGGCAACTTTTGAACTTGCAATATTTAAAGATTGGTAAACCATTAATGGCTTCGTGGAAGTCGGGTAGTTTCATCCAATATATCAACGGGTTAATGGCCGAATTAAAGAGGCCGATATCGAGAAGAAATATTGCGGCTATGCTTGCTACGTAGCAGACGCCACGCTTTTCCTTGTCGCTACTGAAGTACGTGGTGAATCCAGTGTGGAGTGCTGCGATGCACCAAGGCAACCAACACACGGCGAACATTACCACAATGATGGCGTACGCTTCGACTACAAGTTTCGTTCGACGAAAACTTTTCTTGCCTAGCTTACTTTGTTTCTTTTTGTCCATTTTATGCATTGTGTAGAAAATACTCGCGTAAAGAACACTGATACAAACTATGACAACAATAACACTCAGCGGGGCAAAGCTGTAGAGGAGGAGAATGTACTTGTATGGATCGGCAGTCCAGGGCACTATTGCCAATAATACCGTCAACCACATCACTACACAGATTATTATCAACTGCTTCCCGGTAGCTGCTGTTCGGCTCATGTCCACATTCATCAGAACTAGTATGTAAAAACGCTCGACAGCAATTGCTAAATTCGTGAAAACGGAAATAATGGCGAGAGAAAGTCCGACAGCGTCCATGAAACTTGGCGGCGCTAATATTTGAATTGGTAGAATTATCCCGGCGAAAAAATCTGTTAGACACAGGCTTCCGATAAGAACGTATTTTCTATCGCGCAGTTTCTTCACTCGAATGAAAGTCCAAATGATGATAGAGTTTCCGAGAAGGATTAGAATGCAGAGTAATATTAATGTGAATATGTAGAATAATAATAGAGCTTTGTTTTCTACCAATGGCGTGTCTGTAATACTGGGTAGTTTGCATAACGACGGATCAAACGCTGTAGAATTGTTAAGACTCATTGTATCTTCAAAGCTCAGCGGATTCTGAAAATAAGAAAAAAAAAAACCAAAAAAAAAAATCAATTATGTTTTAATAATAAGTCGAGTTAAATTATTGTCATATTCCGGTATGCAATGTCATATGTATGTCATAACAAAATCCTCTTATTTACCACTTAAATATCATAAAACATCACCACGATTTATATACTTATTATACTTATTAGGTCTACCATGTATATGTATGCGTATTGTAGTGTAT